GGGGGGAATAAAAAAATTAAAATGAGATTTGGTACTCCAAGACCTAAAACTTATGTTCCAGTGGAAGTTTTAAATTAGGTCACAAATGACACCAATCTATCAGACTGAAGAATAAAATGTTTAAAAATATTTCTGGTAAGAAACAATTTGTTCCTTCAACATTCTGAACACTTCAGTATAAAAGTGTAGTATCTCTTCATTAAAAACTCTTCTTCTTCAGACTATCTGTAACCTTGGGTATTGTTTGTTCTAATTATATCCTGAGAAAACGTAGATGCTACAGATCTTCTTCTTTTCATATATTTCTGATTAAATTGCATTTTGTGAATGTATTATAGGAACAAGAAGCATGATCTTTGCAAATACCAGATATGGGCTGTGCATTGTCATGATGATTGGTAACAATGTTAAAGAGTAACATCTTACAAAGTGCCTCAGACAAGCACTAAATGCAGTGAGTAATTGTGCAGTAATTTCTTTTTAAAACTTTATACCTGAAGGAATAATGTAAATAAACACAGCTGAGAGTGGTTGGTGAAACTTTGATTCATTCCCTCCCTAAAGGGATGCAGTTCGTATCTGAGGTTTTGCATATGTCTCTGAAACTAATATGCAATAACCTTCTTCATCTTAGGTTTTGGTTTGGTTGTTGCTGTTTTTTTGGAGGGGGGGGGGCGGGAGGGGGGATGAAGGGCAATTAAGCAGTGCTAATGAAACCTATCAATTTTAATATAACTGACTATCAAGACTAAACAGCAGGCAAAAAAGCTAAGATGGTGAAAGAAAAAGAAAGGGAACTACATAGCAATATACAATTTCAACCTCATAGATGCTATCGACTCAAAGTTTTATCAGTCCTGCTATGGATGCAATGGGATACCCAATTCTTTCACTGAAACTTTCAGTCAAATTCAGTGTAAAAAGGAAACAAAATGCATACTCGACAGGTAACTAGATTCCAGTACTGTCTTGCCATGTGGTTGATTTTTACTTGCAAATCCTAAATTAGTTTCAACTGTACTGTGAAACAAAACATAGGCTTCTTCAGCAATTAAGACAGACATCAAAAAGTTCAGCCTGCACTCATTGTTGATGTCTACACATACACATTTCCTCCTTGAACCAATTTGTGATATGTATGACAACCTTAGTTCTGCTACTTCAACATCTGTTTTGAGGATAACTGATAGGAGATTTTCTACTTGTGATTTTCAGGTCACATTCCAGCTACTCCTCAACTACTAAAAAAAAAAAAAAAAATCATTTAAAAGGTCACTGCTGCTTGCAATACCTGGGGTTCCCTTGAGACCACTCTGAGTTGTTAATTCAGATGATGTTTGTGCTTAAAAATCTGATAACAGGCATCAGAAGACAGGTAATAAGCAAGAGTCTCAAGTCAAGAACATTAATTTCTAAGATAAAGTAGAACTATGGAAGCTCTGAAGATACAAGAAATACACAACAGTGTTTCTTTTTTTTTAAAGGATTTACAATTTAATACTTGTTTCAGATGCTGATATAAAATCACAAGCCTCCTCCACCCCACAAGTATCTGTTCAGAACTTACCGTTACTCCAAAGAAGTTGGTTTCATTCATAGCATCCAGAAAAATTTTGCCAAGCTTGTGATTTGTGTAGTTAAAATCTTCAATTTTTTGATGCTTGTTGGTGGCATTCAGATACTTCATTGCCCGCTGCAGGGTCTTGGCAATCACCCATATTCCATCATAGGCATACCCATGGAATTTGCTGGATTGACCATCACCACGCTTAGCATTGTATTCCTTTTCATATTGCTGTGGAGTCTACAGAGGAGGAAAACTTCAGTTTTACTTCAATATGTAACATTTTACAGAGTTGCATCCAAACATACACCTCAGACTGCACCCTCCAATTCAGAGACATGCATGACTAACACAGAAATGGCCACCAAAACAAAAATTAAGAAAGAAACTAAAATTCCAAAACCACATGCTGCCTAAACTACAAGGCTGATGGTGAGACTGGGAGGGAGGTCTAGGAGATAGAGAGACTGAAATGCAATTCTGCTTCTCTGTATGAAGGACAACTTGCTTTGCTTTTGGACAAAAGACTTCAGTTCAACCAAGCTACCAGCACACTGGTGAGCCATAATACTAGAACAGAATTAGTCCGTATCCCTGCAAATTAGTGGTCTGATTACACTTTATAGGATAATGCAAATCAAATAGACTTTATTTGAGCAACTATTTGCTTAATATGAAATTATGTGAGTGGCAATTTGTCTATGTTTTACAAGTATACTATACTTTTTGTGGTGTGCTATCTTATGATGAGTTGCCTTTTTATAAAGTTGCCTTTCGTGCTCACTCAGCAAGACATGCAAGACAGATGGAAAAAGATGAAAAGCAGCAAAATCAGGCATGTTTATTCATTGGCCAGAGTTTGCATTAATTTGTTCTGTGATAAAATGTTATGTTCTTTATGGAAATACCACATATTTACATACGTAAAACAAATGCCCCCCACCCCCTAGTTCTGAGAGGCACAAACCACCACTGAAATTAGCCATTTACTGGATTAGGTTTAAATACGAAAGTTTTCTATTTCTGTGTTCAACTATTTAACCTGACATGACACAGCGCATACTACTGCAGACAATAATTCAAGCTTTACTGGATATTTAACTGTAATGTTCATACAGGGGGGGAGAGGATAGATTTGAGGCAAGGGACTTCACTGCTTCCTTACCCTATAGAGAATTCAAATTGACTTCTAAATATTTAAAAATTGAAAAACAGTGGAAAGATTAGACTAACCATGATGACTGCCAGCTCTCTTTGTAGAAGAACCTTTTAGCTCCACCTCCTTCCTCAGTGCTTTGCTGTGTCAAGATACTGGTGAGACAACTAATGGTATGATAAAATAGACGGATGAAAAATACTAACCCTTCCTGATATGGTCTTTAACATTTTTGAGCTGAGAGGCTCAAAATCCACTCCAATATAACCTTCCATGGCTGCAAGAAGATTTTTGCTGAGACATTGTGAGGAATTAATCCAGGATTCCCACCAAAGATTTTCATACCACCCTGGAATAATCCACTGATACTTGCTGCCATACATTTCTTCTTCATAAGCCTACAAAGAAAGAAAAACAGAAAAGTTAATAGACACTGCAATAGACATAGTGAACATAAAAGTGATTGTTTTCTGTTCATGTTTTTTCCATTATTAATGAAATTATGCCATAATTGAAGGTTACATAAGTATTTTGAACAGTTTAGAATAATTACTTGCTAATAACGAGGACTCCTTTATTGAAGATTCCTTTCTTTACAACTCAGGTTATGAGAAGAGAATTTACTAAAACCTATTTTGCTTTCAATAGACCATTTATTCAGAAACTGAAAAACAAAATTCTGGATTCTAAAGCTGGGGGAGATAAAGAAGAACACTAGCAGAAAGCATAGTATTTGCATATAAAACTATCCATAAGACAACTATTATGTGAGTTGTAAGACCACCATGCTACCATGTTTAAAATAAGTTATTATCATCCTAATATCATCCTGAAGACCACATAAAACAGCATAAAGGTAAACAAGAAAACTTGGCTACTAAACACCACCAAATTATAATGTTGCAAATGTGAATTATGTGATTATGCTAAAACAGAGACCTTACTTAACAGGGATGTTAAGTAAGCAGTTTCTCCTGGGGAGTATGAATCAGTAGTAATTTGATAAAGCAAGCAAATCCTGAATTTCTTTTCAGCAAGAAATTTCTTCAGGTGAGATTCTGTATTGTTTGGATACTGAACACAGCCCACTGTACTCCAAGATACTGAGATGATGGTTATCTCCTTTCAATACATAGCAGATACATATAACAGGTAACAAATACTTCATTACTCAGGCACATATGTTGTTGTGCCTAAAAGCTGATATATTCACAATAGATATTCTATTCCATTGTGAAGAGTGTTCTAGGATAAAATAAGCAAATTTTCTGTCAGATGTTTCTCTCACTGTCTTTTAACTAGGTATTTTTCTTTTGACATTTCAGTCAGACTCCATTTCTAAACAGCAGGTTTCATACTTCTTTGGCTCCTAGTAGAAGCAATACTGGAGATACAAGACATATGATAGAAATTCCAATTTTTAGAAATACGTGGTACATCCTTAGAGCTCTTAGCTGGAAAACTGCTACGTCTTCACAGAAAATGTTACAGAAGGAGGAAATGATGAGAATGCAAACAGGACATATTAGTCATTCAGAACATAATAATTTCGAAAAGTATCCCAAAGATCACAGCAAAAGCCTATCAGATATATAAAGATGAATTGCAAAAATTACTAAATAAGACAGTCTCCTAAATACATTAATATCCAAATTAAAATTGTGCTTTAAATCTGTGAAGGCTATTAGAATGGTGCCAACTCAGTTCATAAACATATTGTGAACAAAGCAGTTTTGTTTGGCCTCTGGTTGCAGAAGCTTTTGATCAGTCAAAATCAAATTTCATGCATTTGTATATAACGCTGCTTGAAAGTGCTTCTGTCTGAAATCCATTGTCTTGCATCTGATGTTTTACTTACTCCATGTTCCACATAAATTATTTATCTTTCTCTAGCTCATTAATTCTACCCTTCCAGAAACACCTTTGCTATTGCCATCCTGCCCATCTCCACTTCTGCTACAGCTATGGTGACACTGCAGCCCAGGCCCAGCTGCGAGGAAAATTGCAATCCCATCCTGCAATACTTCCTGATTCTAAAATAGTTTCCATTACACAATTAGGTCAATCAAGACCTCTCTAGTAATATAGTGTCTTTTATTTGACAGTTTTCAAACCACTGAAGGACACAAATTGACACAGAATAGTGCTTACAGAGAAGGACAATCTTCTGTAGCTTCCCTTGCTCTATACAGATAAAAGTATCAAATCATGTGTTGCAAGAAAATATTGGCTGTGAACTATCCTAGAAATAGCTGCTAGAAATTTTCTGTTTGCATAAGCACTTAAGCCTGTTTCCTGCATAATCTGTAAATGTCCTGGGACACAGGATAAAAATTGAAAGTTTCAAAATAGCTGGAAATTCCACCCTGGAAACAAGGGATATCTCCCAGCAAAGTTGCACTCAAACTTTCAAATTACTGCAAGAATGTAGTCAAAAACAAACAACAAAGAAACAAACAAAAAAACCCCCAAAAAACCCAAACAAACAAAAGCTAGAATCATAGATTCATAGAAGAGTTAGGGTTGGAAAGGACCTTAAGATCATCTAGTTCCAACCCCCATGCCATGGGCAGGGACACCACACACTAAACTATGTCGCCCAAGGCTCTGTCCAACCTGGCCTTGAACACCACCAGGGATGGAGCATTCACAACTTCCTTGGACAACCTATTCCAGTGCCTCACCACCCTCACAGTAAAGAACTTCTTCCTTATAGCTAACCTAAAGTTCCTCTGTTTAAGTTTAAAGCCATTATCCCTTGTCTTACCTTAGGACTAGAGTCCCTAACAAAGAGTCCCTCCCCA